CCAGCAAGCTGGCCTGAGGTTATGGATGGGCCCCTGGTCCTATGTGGAGCTGGAGGCAGCACGTGGCATCATGTTCTCTTCGGTCAGCAAAGCTAAACTGTCAGAGCTGTATGCTCGGTGGGGCGGCATCCCACGTTACGTCCTGAAGTACGCAGCCAACCCCGAACTGCAGGAGGAGCTTGATGCAGCGGTGGCAACCGTTAATATGGATCTCTTGTGGAAATCCGTAGGCAACATTGAAGCTGCACCGGATGTCAGCCACAAACTGATCCACGTCGAGGTAGGTGTGAGGTCTTCTCTATTTGACCATTAGCAGATGTGGCTCCAGGCAGAGAGTACTCCCAACTGGGAGATGCCAGGGGAGCTGATCCCTCTTACATTCCTCCCCCCCTTGAGGAAACGTCCTCGGGCACCCCTGGGCATATCCTGTAGGATTTAGGTTGTTTGAGATCCCGTAGGGTTGTGTATTAGTTTGTTATTGTGACATTTCGTCAGTCCCCGTCCGAGATTGAGGACTTTGTTTTTACTCAGCTTGTAGACTTCCCGCCCACCTGGGCATCCACCTTTGGGGTGAGAGTATGCTGCATCATGCCTGGTGTGCGATCTGCTCGCAACCAGGTTCGATCCGGGGAGTTCCCACCTCCTAGCAATTCGCACCAATGTAACACCAGGCAAAGAGTACTCAGTTGGGAGATGCCAGGGGAGCTGATCCCTCTTTACAGCAGATGCCCCATGTGTTGTGACTGGTGACTTTGCACTGGGCAGGCAATATTGGGTGGATGTGCATATCTAAAGGCCCACAGGGGAAAATCCGGTGGAAGAATCACTGGAAATCAGTGCCATTTTTAAAAGCAGGGATGCGCACAGAGTGTGGCAATGGCATGGGTTCTGCACACCATCTGACAAGCCTTTCTCATGTTGTGGGTTGTTGCAATGACATGCAGGTGGATGAGAACTGCAGCAGGAAACGCCTAGTCTTCGGCTCCGGGATAATCGGCCAGCGTGTGATGCAGGAGTTGCATCGGCAGGGTACTGCTGAGTTGGCCAAATT